CAGTCTTCAGTGTCGCATGATCCTTCAGAAATCCTTTTAATATGCCGATTTTGTGCTTAAGATACATTTACTATTATTATGAATGCTGAAAAGAGTGTTGCTTGTTTTTGGTGAAAACTGATAAATTTTTGCTTTTCTGATACTTTGATGAATAGAAAGCTCAAAAGAACAGCATTTATTTGAAAAATACATATTTTGTATCATTATAAATGTATTTAAAGATCAGTTTAATTCATCCTTGCTAAGCTAAAACTAATTATTCTTTTTCTTTTAAAGAAATGCCCTCAAACATTTGAACAGTAGTGTATATGGGAAAAATTGATGTCTTAAAAGCTATGGCAGAAACATTGTCTATATTTGGTCAGTCCAATTAAACTGCATCTACAGGTATGCGCAAACCATTGGGATTTGAATCCAGGTCACCTTGCACTTTAAATAAAAACTATACCACAAGACTAGCAAGACTAACAGTTTACAGTTTTTTTCCCCCCTATGATCGTGTCTATGGCAACCAAGTGAGTCAGGACTGCCACAGATGCCCTCTCCAAAGAATCTGAGAAAGTAACGGTGTATGATATAGTTCTATCAGATAGTATAAGAGCATCACTGACCTATTCTACTGCAGATGGTGACCAGCAGCTCTCCCACAGTTTTGGAATCATCCACCATGATGGTCTTTACTGCTCCATCCAGCATTTTTATCTTCTGAGGTCTCTGTTTTTTCTTATACTCCAGTATGTCCTAAGAGACAGAGAGAGAGAGAGAGAGAGAGAGAGAGAGGAATTGGATTTGATTAGATTTCCTGACCACAGCAAATTAATAGTGTTAAAGTTTAAGAGAAAGCTTAGGTTTTATGCTATGGTTCTGAATGAAATTCTGCATTGTAGCCATTTCGCTGTCCAGTACGTCTTGCTTTCTGCCAGCTGTAGAAAAAAAATCTAATCTGTGCAAAGCCAAAAATGACTATAAATGGTTGAGGAAGACAATAAAAATTTGTATGCAAATTAGTTAAGAAACAAGACCAATAGCAAATCAGTTTTTAAAGTATAAAGCTTACAAAAATAGATATAGACCAAAAAGGCTGTAATTATCTACAAAACAAAGTTCAAATGGAATCTGTATGTGAAGCAGTTTGTGCTAAATTATTTGCAGAATTGCAAAAAGAACAAACCCTAATCAGAATGAATGAAGAATATAAATTGGGTGCTGCCTTGCAAGCACTATAATGAATGTGAATATGTTTGAGACAGAAACAAGAGGAAAGGATATATAAAGTGTTCATTGCATGCAAAATACAACAAATTAAACAAGCAAGACGTGGTTATGAGAGCTGAAAATCTGTGTGCATGTATGAGGGAGAAGAAGAGGTCTTTTGAGCAACAAGAGATGAAACACTACTGATGAAATCTTCATTTAACACATCCTAATTTATACTGCACACACACATCTTTATTTCTTCCTGGGAACAAGCATCCGGCTTTGTCTTTATATACACAACACTCCTTTGCACAAGCACAGAGACTCACAAGTGTAAACAAATATAAACAAAAACCATATGCTGCAGTGACAAATGTCTTTAATCACGTTGCTGTAGCTTGTCTTAGTAAGTGTAGACGCTAAGGGGAGCCTTTCCCCTCTCTCACACATACTCAGAAACTATAAAAATAACCAAGAGCAGAGTTAAGACTTCTTCTCATCTTTCAGTACAAAAAAAATGTGCAAAGACACATCACAAAACAAGACAAGAGTGCAAAGAGATGTCACAGAACATTTGACAGGAGCTTGTAAAATAGAGAGACAGAAGATCAAAGGCCTTACCCCATTTCTCAGCATGTAATAGTCCAGCGTCCGGCCTCCTTCCAGCCAGATGCCTTTCCTGGGGTCTTCGTCTGACAGAAACAGCCCATATTCTGAAGCTGAGAAACAACAGACACTGTATAAGAACTTGTACTTGGCAAAATGATATAATTTCAGCAACTGCATTTGTAATCACTGTAAACATTGATATGGAAACCCATTTCTGCCACTGAATTAAAAAAAATGTAAAAAAGGTAATTGTGACTTTTTATGTCACAATTCTGACCTTTTTTTTTCTCGCAATTGCGACTTTGTATCTCACAATTCTGACTTTTTTTTCCTCCGAATTATGAGATATAAACTCCCAATTGCGACTTGTAAAGTCCAGTTCTGAGGAGAAAAAAAAAGACATATGACTTAACTCGCATTTGCAAGTTTATATCACACAATTCTGACTTTATAACTCGCAATTG